GTCGTGGCTGGGTAATTTATACGTGACTAAAGCAATAGTTGCCGTATTTGTATCCCCAAGTACTAGGTCCCATGATCCTCCAAGTAAGGCCCTTGCAGTTTAGAGTGTCGCGGCGATTAGGATTTTTGGGTTTCGTGTTTCCGGCTCTGGTGTTTAGGGGTTTGGGGTTGTTTTGTTGGAGGCTTTGGAGTTTAATCCAAAATCTTGCAGCCTCCTTTCGAATGCCTGTTCTGGTCCGGGTTGATGCTTACGGCTTTCGGCTCTTTCAGGGCACAGAACTCCTACATTTCGAGGCTTCCCAAAAATGCTAGGACCCTCAGCGTAACATACCGGGAGGATCGGCGGACTGGGTTTTAGTAGGTAAGTTTTACAGAGTTCTAAGTACCCGTAACAAAAAGGGACCCTCAGTTAGGTTTCCTACTAAACCCCCAACCCCTCCAAGTAATGTTTACGTAAGGCAAAGGAGAGATTCATACAGCAGCCTCAATCATATCAGACTGGGGTTACTTGGAGGATCAGTTGAGGATCAGGGGACTTAGTAAGTAAGGTTGTAAGTACCCAAATTGGGGTTATAAGTAATTTATAAGTATAGTTGCCTTCGTTATATCCCTAGTTACTAAGTCCCATGATCCTTTAAGTAGAGGCCACGGAAGTATACTTACATCAAAAACCCCTAAGAAGTGGTGTTGGTAATTTCACCAGGCCACTACGTCCACGGAAGACTAAGAGGGTCGGAGACTTAGCAAGGTTTAGGGCTTTAGGGTTCGACAGAATATTCGGAACATGTTTGTGCCGCTGGGTTAGGATTTAGATGAAGGTTGCGGAGGCAGCGAACCATGAAACGGTTACTGTTGTGGGCATGTAGCAAGTCAACGCTGACGCCGAAACTACAAACCCGAAAACCCCACACCTCAAACCCGAAACCCTTAAGCCCCTTGACCCCAAACCCGTCCTCAAGCACCTGAACCCCAAACCCGAATGCAACTTCGACTTTGAACCCCAAGGCGCCAACCAAGTTCCTACTCATCCCCGAAACCTCAACCCCTGATGAACAAACACTGTCACAAAGAACACCTACACTTGGGCCTCCAGGATGGGCAAGATTAATGTCCCCTTGATCCCAACAGCCATAAGGAACCACCATAAAACCGTCTTGCAACAATCTTTCAAGCCCGAAACCCCAAACTCTAAAGCGCGCCGACACCAAGCGGCATCCGGCGGAAACGATTGTCAAGCTCGTCCAGGCCCTCTCTTATCAAGGCCCCTATAGTGAGCTGCTGCTGGCCCTCTTTTAAGGGTGGGCTTACAAAGGTTTAGGATGTAGGATCAAGGTTTATACTTCTTTTCAAATTTTTCGAGGCTTAACTGAGACTTGTTGCTTGTGGTTTTGGGCTTTCGAGCTGAATCCCTCCCAAATAACAGCTGAAACCGAATGCAAGGCTCGGCTAAATCTAACGAGAACAATTGAGTGCAACCATAACACGGAACCCCCCAAAAAGATCCTACACGATTTTGACGGCATGATGCATCTTTGGGACCAACATGTCTGAGAAAACCATAGCCCTACAAACCTTTTTGGCAAACACAGTCAATAGCTATAGCCGAAAAGCCCCGGAGCCGCCAAAGCTGAGGTGTATGGGGTCCCTAAACCCTAAACCCTAAACCGTCTCGTCGCATCGAAAAATTTAAAGGTTCTGGAATGCTGCAACTGACATGGCCATGCCGTCGCAGTCCAAGCCTTGCTTCATGAAAACGACAAGCCCAAAGAGCCCAATACCCCTTAATAAAGGAATATAGGGTTTAGGGTTTAGGGTTTAGGGTCTTAAATCATAATCTGAAGCCCTATATAATCTAAGCCATATTCCTTAATTAAGGGGTATTGGGCTCTCTGGGAGCAACTTGATAAATCCGTGCTCGAAACGAACTGCTGGGGGCATCAGCACAACCCCGCTTTCAAAAGCTTGAGCGATCAATCCCGCATCAAGATTTTTTTGACCTCCGTCCCTTGAGGGGGTAGCGTAGCCGAAATTGCACAGCACATGACTAAAAACGAATAATAGTAGTATCAATCATGATAAGATCTAGGAGCGGAACAACACATAGGCCTGTGCAGTGAAGATTCTGCCGACAACACATAGAGGTGTTACGAAGGGTTTAGGTTTAGGGTTTTATAATTTTATAAGGTTTAAGATTTGGGGTTAGGTTTAGTTTAGAATTAGGGACCCTAGATGGGGACCCCTACCCTATAATGGGCTATATAATGGGTATATAATAGCTATATTAAGGGTATATGCCTAGGGGTCCTTATTAAGGGTCCCTCCTTTTACCTTGGAAACATTGGAGTCCGGCAGCTTCGAAGCAACCTCGACGTTCGTACGGAAATACAGCCTTGAGCTTTTAACAGATGCGCACCTTACGTAGACTTGCAGCTGTAACTGAAGCATTCATGCACTTCCCGTTGCTGTTCATCTTGTGCGAATGCACTGCAACCTGTGCATTTCCTTCTGGAAATTGGCGATGCCGTCTATTCGAGAACTGGCGTTTAGGTTTGCGCCGGCCTGGTTGGTCAGGTCCACCAGTCTTCCGGCTTTTAGGATTGTGGGTTGCAATCTTCACCCGCTTTGCTGCGAGCTTTACCCTTAAATCACCTGTTTGCAAAACTAAACCACCCCAAGACTTGGATCAGAAAACACTTTGAACCCTTGGCCGCCTTAAACTTCGCGCTGGAATCTTTCGGAAAAGTTCCAATATCATCGGCAAGACAAGCATCCTACAAACCCTTGATTGCACCGAATCCGGTTAGAAGGCACCGACCTGAAAGCAACACGAAACACAGTGAAAAGCAACACAACACAAAACATAGCTAAACTAAACTGAACCCTACATCCCCCAACAACCCCAAACCACAAAGGCTATGCGCCTACACGCCGAACATTGACATCTGACACCCTGAGAAAAAAACGAATGCCTCGCTTGCCCCCCCCAAGCTCTACGATGCCCATCAAGGTGTTTAGTCATAGGGATCCTTTGGGGGGTAGTGGGAGGGGGGGTAGGGGGCCTTAATGCCCATAATAAGCACCTAATATATAAGGCCGACCGGGCCCCCTTGCCCCCCTATGGTTGAGTCTCTAGGCTTGAGGACGAATCAAGGGGGATCTACAGTCAAGCTGTGCATAACACCAGGATACTATACCCCCCCTTAGAACCATAATAAAAATAAGACATAATATGTTTAATATTATGGGTTTTATATGAACAAGAAAAAACCTAAGGAGACTACAGGATAGTTGATCTTCTGTTGGGCACGTGCAAGCTCGAAACAAGCTCGAAACGGAACCGCCTCAATCACCGAGCATGGAAACATCAAGAATGACAATGGCGTCTTGAGGTTACAAGATGGGGTTACACTTTACGGAAGTCTTTCAGGGTATATTACAGACGGGGATATGGGTGGTTGTCGAAATGAGGGTCCCTGTTTGGGTACCCTAAATACTAGGTGCCGTACTATATAAGGGGCGCACAAAGGGACCATAATTTTGACAACCACCCATATGTTTAACACTTGTTTATCGAACCCCTATCATAGAAATCAGAAAGAACCTCGCAAGCCTGAAGACAGGAACGTGTGGCTCTTGGGCAAAAGGGGAGGTTAGTCCGAGTGTGTAAAGCCAGGCCTTACACCCTAAACCCCCTAAGCCCCTAAGCCCTGAATCCATCTTAAATCCTAAACCCGATCCTCAACCCTAAACCCTAAACCCTCAACCCTAAACCCTAAAGCCTAAATCCTAAACCCGATCCTCAACCCTAAACCCTAAACCCTCAACCCTAAACCCTAAACCCTAAACCCGATCCTCAACCCTAAACCCTAAACCCTCAACCCTCAACCCTAAACCCTAAATCCTAAACCCGATCCTCAACCCTAAACCCTAAACCCTCAACCCTAAACCCTAAATCCTAAACCCGATCCTCAACCCTAAACCCTAAACCCTAAACCCTAAACCCTAAATCCTAAACCCAACCCTAAACCCTAAATCCTAAACCCGATCCTCAACCCTAAACCCTAAACCCTCAACCCTAAACCCTAAATCCTAAACCCGATCCTCAACCCTAAACCCTAAACCCTCACCCTAAACCTAACCCTAAACCCGAACCCTAAACCCTCAACCCTCAACCCTAAACCCTAAATCCTCCTAAACCCGAACCCTAAACCCTAAACCCTCAACCCTAAACCCTAATCCTAAACCCGATCCTCAAAACCCTAAACCCTCAACCCTCAACCCTAAACCCTAAATCCTAAACCCGATCCTCAACCCTAAACCCTAAACCCTCAACCCTAAACCCTAAATCCTAAACCCGATCCTCAACCCTAAACCCTAAACCCTCAACCCTCAACCCTAAACCCTAAATCCTAAACCCGATCCTCAACCCTAAACCCTAAACCCTCAACCCTAAACCCTAAATCCTAAACCCGATCCTCAACCCTAAACCCTAAACCCTCAACCCTCAACCCTAAACCCTAAATCCTAAACCCGATCCTCAACCCTAAACCCTAAACCCTCAACCCTAAACCCTAAATCCTAAACCCGATCCTGAACCCTAGATCCGAAACCCTGGAGATCCGAAACCCATAAATCCGAACTTTCACTCCCGGCATATCTAGTAGAAGTAGTAGTAGTAGTAGTAGTAGTAGTAGTAGTAGTAGTAGAAGTAGAAGTAGAAGAAGTAGTAGTAGTAGTAGTAGTAGTAGTAGTAGTAGTAGGACCACACGAAGAGTTACGACTCACCCAAAGCGAACTAGAAGAGGCTTCCACGAACACGTAGCTGTTTGTTCCTTATGTTTCCTTGAAATACCACCCAAGATTTCGGAACTCCCAAGTCTACAAGCCCTAATCCTGGAAAGAGCTTAGCATCTCGGTATTTAAGCTCTTGCGTATCATAACTTGTTCATGCTTCTTCCGGCGAGTCAGTAAGTCCGCTGTCATTGGGATGTGCCCGAACTTTTAGGTCTTTCTCCCTGGATATGCCACACTAATGACCAACTCCTTGGGGTTCAAGGTTTAGAGTCGGTGTAAACTGATTTCGGTGTAGGATTCATTTTTTTGCATGTTTAGGCTTAGGGCAATCGACTCGATCCCAATCATTTTTGCGGCCTTCCAGTCTCTGATTCTTTCCAACCAGCACCTCAAAGTCATCACATAGCTCCTCGGCTGACTTCTGAACCCTTGCAACACGGTCAACTGGCCGACTCGATATTTCAAGCAGCACAGACTCTTTGATGACGAGATACCTGCACACAAACACTTTGAAATCCAAGCTTGCACCGCAAAACTTTCGCACCACAACAACCAACAGCGTACTACTGAACCCTAAACCCTAAACGTACTACTGAAAAAGGCCACGGCACTTCCCAAAGCTGTGCCAATCTTCCATGTGCCATCCTGATCTTTCCCTAAGGGTCCAAGTACCTACTTATCATATACTCTCCAAAACAGTAACCTACATAACTACCATCCAAAACCTAAGTACCTAATTATTCGGAAAGGACCCTTAGGGTTTTGTCAAGGAACTCATTTACGTCAGCACCGTGCCACGAATGTTACAGTGGAAAAGCCCTAAACTGCCAACCCGAAGGATGCAGGCTTTTCTAGGATACCCAGTAACCTAAGAATGACAAGGCCTCTCTTTTTGGCGTTGGGGAACTTTATAAGGAACCTAGGACTACAAAAAGGGAATAAGGGTACTACTGGGCATCCTGTATGTATGTATGTATGTATGTTTGTATGTATATTTGTATGTATGTAGTACATATGTGTATGCGTGGGTATGTGTGCGCATAGTGTGTGCATTCATGTTTACGTACACCCGCACAAAGTTTATGTCTTTATGTATGTTCGTATATGTCGTACATGTTATTACATACACTCAGGAAACATATACCACCCACAAAATGCGCCGATCATGCATACTGTAACTGAGTTTCTCGCCTGCTTGCAGACCCTTCGCCGGGTAATCGTAGTCGTTACCAACCGTAATAGCAGCCGTAAATTATGCATCGCCGTCTCGGGGAAGCTATATCGGCAACAGTAACAGCAGTAGCAGCGGGGTCAGGCATCCGGACTCAAGGTGTGAAGTACCGAGTGGGCGTGAGAGGCTTAAAGATTCATGGTGAGATGGTCGGGCTTTAGAGTTCTAAGGCCCAGATGGTCGGGCTCAAGAGTTTAGTTGGTCGGGCTTTAGAGTTCGAAGGGGTCGGGCTTTAGAGTTCTAAGGTCCAGATGGTCGGGCTGAAGAGTTTTGAAACTGTGAGGTTTAGGGTTTTGGGTTGAGGGTCAAGGGGTGGGTTCTAAGACTCCCTAAGGATCCATGTACCCAAATAGCATATACTTTGGGCCCAATGTACCTATATAGGGAGTACTTCAAAGCCAAAGTATATACTATTTGGGTAGATGGGCCCTTAGGGTTTCAAAAACTGTAAGGTTTAATCAAAGGCTCTAGGGTTCCACCCAAATTTTCCAGAGAGCAGCTATCAGGATTCCAAAAGTTGCATCATGGCTCAGCAAAAAGCTACAAGTATGGGGGCGAGCCACTTAGTTTATCAAACTTCCCATGAGGTGCTGGCAGGGAGCTGTCTGAGTACTCCATGGTCATGTGCGACATGGTCGGCATCCTTGGTTTCGATTTCTGGCGCTGTAAGGATTGGGTTGCTCTACCAAGGGCCATTTTGGCTCCAGATTGTTCGGATGACGTGACTTTCGGAAACCGGACTCCTTGATAGCCCTAGTTGGGAAATGGATACGGTGCGATGGGTTCAGGGTTTAGGGTTTAGAGGTAGCCGTGGCCGAACCCGACGGAAGGACGTCGTTGCTCCATGGCCGCAAAACTAAATTACTAGGCCCGGCGTCTAATTGAACCCTACTTGTCGGGTATCATGGGGAACTAAAGGTTAACCTTTCTGGTTCTATATGGATTATATAGGGACTATACTACCCAAGAAAGGCTACAGGTCACCTGCTCTACTACTAGGTCAAACTGCAGATCGATTCTAAATCCTGCAAAGTCTACCCATCGCATCACTGACCCAGGGTATAAACGAGGGCTGTTTTGGATGACATCTGTTTTCATGGGTTTAGGGTTTAGGGGGTTTAGGGGTTTAGGGTTTATCCGAATCAAACGGTGTTTGCCGTGGCCACCCTGCGGCTGACGAATTTCGTGGAAACAAACAGCTAAGCTGCTGGCTGAAGGCTTGAGTGCCTAAAGCTGTAGATTGAAATGTAATATGACATGACGGGTCGAGGTATTCCAAAATTATGTCCCCAGACCTTCCAATACCCTTGAATTAGGGAAAAGACCTTACGTCATATTGTGGATCCTACTATCCTCTGGAGTATATTCCTTACTTTAAGGGATATTGGAAAGTCTGGGTCCTTTCAGCTCACAGACTTCCTGTGTGCCCCACATATCTTCTGTGGGCCAAGCCTCCTGGGGGGAACATGTACCTACCTGTATGGTATGTGCTTAAGTCGAAAAGGGTGCCTACCGGGGTATAGTATGCACTTAAGCCCAAAAGGGTTCCTGTCTGGGTTTAGCATGTACTTAAACGTCCTTAAGACACCAAGAGAAAAGCCCCAAAACCCACACACCCCAAGGCCTAAAACCGTACACCCTAAAGCCCTAATCCCTAAAACCGCATGAACCCTGGCAGTGTGTCCCAACAGTAATGAAGGTACCCTTTGTCATGGTATTCAGCTTTAACAACGGAAGCCGAAAATCTGTCGGCAACAGGGTACTACTGGGGAACTTTCAAGGAACCCTTGAACCCTTGATCCAACCCTAAGCCTGAACCCTTGAAGGAACGGCTTCAAGCGCAAAAGGGAACTACTGGTGAACCTTGGGGGGGCCCTTCAAGCAACCCTAAGCCGTAAACCGGTATGGGGGAGCCGAGAGCTCTACACCCCCAAAACGGACCCCGTGCTTCGAAGCAGCTCACCCCCCGGGAAGATGTACTTGTTGACGAAGGCCTCAGGGAGCTGAGGTGAGTGGGTTCAGGCTTGAGGGCTGTACCCTAAAACTCCATATATAGAATCCTATGAGGTAATCCCACAAAGGAACCACTATGGAGCCTTGGGGTAGGGCTTAGGGTTCAGGGTTTGGGGATTCGGGCTTACGTCTTTTGAGATCAAGGGTTTAGGGCTTTAGGGCTCAGTGTTTTGTTGTTTCGAGGCCTTCTTTCAACTGTGTACTTGTACATTCAGAACCGTTTCAGAACCATCCGGCTGGAAGCAGGCATGCATTAAAGTAAAAGCCAGAAAGTTGGAATATGATTATCCTAAACCCTTTATGGAAAATTATAAGGTATCCTACCCTGAAGCCATATTCCAACTTTCTGGAGTTCCCTTTAGGGTTTTGGGTTTCGGGGATTAAGTTTTAGGGCTTCGGCCTGGGATTTCGACCCTCCAAGCGCCCGTAAATAGAGGCTTTTAGGTTCTTAATGGGTATACTACTTGGAGGGTCGGGGGACTTAGCAACTGGTTATCTTAAGGACTTATAAATACCATAACCCCAACTAGGGTCCCTTTTAGGGTACTTATAAGTCTACTTACTACCTAGTTACTAAGTCCCCCGACCCTCCAAGTAGAGGGAAGTTGGGGCCGTGATCTAGGTAGGGTTTCCTTTGTTATGGGGCCAAAAGGTTTAGGGTTTCGGGTTTAAGGCTTTAGGGCCTCGAGTTTGGGGGAGAGGTCGATGAAGGGTGTATAGTTTGCTGTATATTATGGCACAATTCTCATGATGACCCTTACGCTAAGGCTCGAAAGAGCCCAAAAGCCTTACATAGTATGGTCTTTGCTTAAAATATGAGTCCTTAGAGCCTAAGGGTTGGGGAATTCAGCAAGCTACCACGACCGACCGACCTTGGCGGCCAAGTTCTATCGCCCATTTGGAGGATCGTGGGACTTAGTAAAGTAAGGTTATAAGTATCTTAATTGGGCTTATAAGCAATTATCACTATAGTTACCATATTTAACCCCAATTGCTAAGTCCCATGATCCTCCAAGTATGAAAGGTGTTGGAATGCAAAACGTTCACCTGTGCCATGCCCGAAAGTTTGCGTGGATGCACGACAGTTAGAAGTCTGCGCATGGCCCCTTTCATGGCTTCGCCGCCGACAGAGTCCAGCGGCACGACTGTCAACCATGAAGCCTACAATATATAGTGGCCTTGATAATCAGAATAGGCGGGTTTGGGGGCCCATTACAAGTATAAGAAGGAACCCTCAGGAATGATATTGGTAGTTATTTAGGCTTCTATAGTAGCTCCGTAATTCTTGGATAAGGAGTTTAGAGTGCAGGGCCTGAGGCTTACGGCTTAGCTTTGGAGTTATAGGGCGTAAGGGTGCACCTACCCTAGCTTTGGAGTTATAGGGTCGGGTGCAGGGCCGAGCCATGGTGATTTGCTAGAGGGATCGCAGCTACGGAGCCGAAGTCCTGCTTGCGGGTCTTGGGTTTGAAGTAAAAGCCAGAAAGTTGGAATATGATTATCCTAAACCCTTTATGGTACATTGTAAGGTATCCTACCCTGAAACCATATTCCAACTTTCTGGAGTTCCCTTTAGGGTTTAGGTCCCCTTAGTTAAAAGAGTAACCTTTTTCCTGGTATTCAGTCTTAATAAGGGAACCCTAAGATGCAAACGGATATTACTGAGAGTAACCTATGCCTGAATAATTGCCTATACCAGTTTGGCGGGGTTCCTAAACATAACTATAGTGTATAATGGGCCCCCCCCAACCCTATTCTAATCATAAATTCCCCGACATTAGTGGCTTCTTTGGCGGCGGTTTAGGCCAGTGGAGCTCGACTTCGGGCTGCAATCTTTAACAAGACCCAAGAGTAGCCTAGGAATAAAAAGGGTGCCCTTTTTGGTTTAAAGGGGCTTATAAGGGAACCGGAACCCCCCAAAAAAAGGGAATAAGGGCCTACTCTAGGTCCTAGTTAAGCATCAGCGTCGACGCTTGAAGCGGGCTTTGGGGTTTCAGAGCTTCAAGTTTTTTGGAGCCTGGTGTGGCTCGGTAAGCATAGGGGGGCATAGTAACTTTAATGGTGGCTGGGATCGCAACAACAACAACGACATGTCCACCTGCGATATTACCAGCATCCTAAGCAAAGGGCACTGGCGATTCCACCATTGCCAATGAACAGCTCGATAGTAAAGCTAGCCGTGGCCATACAAAGACTGTCCACGATGGCGAGATCCGTAAAATCGAATACTAATGACACTTCGTACATGACCATCGTCCTTAGGTCGTTGTCGTCGTGCTGTCGTCACTATGCACCTGACCAAATTTACCGGTGAGACATTCAGAAAGCCCTAAAAACTTCTCTTACAACTTACACCTAAACCCGCAATCGTCGACCCTAAACCCTCAACCCTAAATCTTGTTGCGACTTGGCGTCGTTGTGATTCCATGGCCCCCGTCGCGCCCAGCCCATCGTGTGTATCAGCATAATGCCGTCGTCCTGCAAGGCGGTTTGGGGTTTAGGGTTTGGGGTTTCGGGTTTAGGGTGAGTCTCTTGGAATTTCTGTCGGGCTTCCCGGAGTTCCTTGAAAGTAGACTTGTCACGGGTTTAGAGGAACCGGTGACTGTCTGAAAGCAGCAGACCTATTTCAAGAAAATATCACAATTATTATTATTATTATTATTATTATTATTATTATTATTATTATTATTATATATATATATATACATATATATATATATATATATCCAGCACGAGCCTGCCCAGCGGAAAGACGCGTAAACAAAGGCGACCCTGGAATACCATATAATCCTGACCCTATGTAAGCCTTGTTTTAGGATGTCCTTAAGGCCTTAAGGGGGGGTGGTCCAAGGGGGGTAGGTAACCTAGTCCCCAATCCCCATTCCATTCCCCAATACTCCCTAAGCTTCCCTAAGGTTCCCCAAAGCTCCCTAGTACCCTCCCCCCTTGAACCACCCCCCCTTAAGGATCCTATAAGTTGTTTAGCCCCAAGTCCTGGAACCAACCTGCAATCCTACTAGAACCCAAGAGCGAACGCTCAAATCGAACCCCTAAACCCAAGCTTACCGCGAACCCCCCCGAACCCTAAACCCCGAAACCCGTAACCTAAACCTAAACCCGAAAACCAGAAGCTTCCTTGAGTAGCTCGTAGCACTTGTCAAAGAAGGTCTCGTAGGAATTTCGGCCAACATGCTCCTCTGTTTTGGGGCCGTTTAAAGGCAGGGTCCAGGGAGAAACCTACCCAAACCCTGCCTCTTCGGGATAGGGTTTGACAGGCCCAGACCTTCCAAAATCCCTTAATTAAGGAATATACCTTAAGTGATATTAGGGATCCTACTATAATTTAAGTATATTCCTTAATTAAGGGATTTTGGGAGGTTTGAGGGTGAGCGCCTGGACCCCAAACGTATGTAGAATAAAAAAGCCTTTTATTGGTCTTGGGCCCTAAACCCTAAACCGCCCTACTTTTGGGGGTCTAGGCAGGAACTTAAGGCTCCGGGTTTATAGGGTTTTACGGATTCTGATTTGGGGTTTCTACGGTTTCAAGGATTGAGGGTTTAAGATTGATAGGGTTTTACGGTTTAGGGGTTGATGGATCTTTAAAGATCAGGGTTTCTTGAGTTTGGGAATTACAAGGTTGGGGGTGTGTGGAGTTCATAAGGTTGCTCCACATAGGAGTTTTCACATACAAGGCCTCAGGAATTGCGGGTTTGGGGTGTAGGGTGTAGGAATTGAGTCTTTAGGCAGGAGAGCAAGTACCCTGACAGAAAAAAGGTATGTAAGACGCTTTTTTAACCATTCAGAACGTCTTCACTCCGGCTACTTGTCGGGAATCATGAGGAACTAAAGGTTAACCTTTTTGGTGGGATGTTTTGGGGACTACACTACCCCAGAAAGGTTGAAGGTTACCCTACGGCTCCATAGTAATTCCTTTTGGGATATATGAACCCCAAAAAGGAACTACTATGGAGCCTTAGGGTAGGTCCTAAATTCAATGCCTGGGATCCTCATCCCCGAGCCTCAAAGCGAACGCCCTAAATGCTAAGCACCAAGTCCTGCTAAAACTGAACTCTAATAACCCTGAAAACCCCAAACTCTACACCCTAAACTCTAAACCTCAAGCCCTATGAGCCCTAAGCCTGCGCCCTAAACCCTGACATTCTGAAGGGTTCCAAATTGAGGGTATAGGGTTCAGGGTATCACGAGGGGGTCCTGGATTTTGACCTTTTCGCCTTCTGGTGAGAAGTTATGCAGACGTCCAAACAGCTCAAGTCCGAAATTCCAATCCTTGATCCAAAACCCTAAGGGTCCATGTACCCAAACAGTATATACTTTGGCCTTAAAGTACTCCCCAAATAGGTACATTGGGCCCAAAGCACACACTATTTGGGTTCATGGACCCTCTGGGAAAGCCTAGACCCCTGACACAGGGATTTCGGATTCGTAACCTTCAGTTTTCAGAGCTTACATGTAGGCTGCCTGGATATAAACCTTCAAGGCAGTGTAGATTATAGCAACAAGTGTTCAAAGCGTACGTGTGGCCAATTCGGTGCGATCTAGTAACTAGTAGACCCACTGAAGTGCAGATGTAAGCCATCACAGCAGTATAGACATATGTATAGCAGAAAAGGGTTATGTGAAAATGCCGTAACACTCTTACAGAACCCGAAAAACCGTATGCAACCCAACATTAGGGCATAAAAGCAAAATCACTCACCAAAGCGGTTTGTGCTCCATGTTTGCTATCATACCGCGAGTACCCTAGGAATTATTAAGATCTTTGGCATTGGAATAAGAGCCAAGAATTTACCCCTAAGTAGCTCTAAGCCCTGAGCCACCCGCCCCTACCACCTGCCCGCCTCAACCCTAAACCGAACTTGTGCTGCCAGGCGGCGAACATGCCCACAGAGTAGATGCGGTCAAACTTCCCAGTAACCTCGTGGTAGTCTCGGAAGAAGTTCAACCCAAGCCTTAAACAACAACCCTACATCGGGATTCAACAACCCTACCATTTTGCAGTGTTCTACCTTGTACCTTCGGGTGCATAACCTGCTATTTCGTAGGCTTTGGGGCTGCAGGTCAACCCTAAACCCTCAACCTCAAACCCCTGACCTCTAAACCCTCAACCCTAAACCCCTAAACCCCCTAAAGCCCTAAAACCCCTAAAGCCCTAAACCCCAAACCCCTAAACCCCTAACCCCTAAACCCTCAACCCTGGACCCTGAACTTCCGACCTCGCGGTAGTCTTGGAAGCGGTACTCGATGTTGGGGTGAGCATTGTGCTCCACTGCCTCGTGCTCGAAGGGAAGGCATGTCCCAAAGGGCTCTGAGTACCTATATGCGGGTTACCTGCGCAAGGCGTAGTAGCAGTCCCTACCGACTTTCTACGATGTAAGTACTTAGGGCCCGTTGGGCTCGGGATTTTGATATTCAGCTTCAAACTGCCCGGCAGTGCTTATGCATGGATTTAAATACGTAAAACCTGACTCCAAATCCACAATAATGCACAGATTGAACTCAAAATCCTCAGGTACCCAAAACAAAGCTCGAACTCTCAAAGTGCCCAGAATTGGGTTCGAACTCTCAAAATGAGGAGTGCCAGCACTCTTGGGGTTCTGTTCATTCTGTGCTAGGCTCTAGATTTCCGGTGCCTCGGTAGGCGCATGAATGGAAGCCACTGAGGGTTTAGGGCTTACTATACCCCCAGTTACTTGAAAGTCCAGCAACAGCTAAAGCTTGCAGCTTGCAGGCTCTAGTTCTAGTGACGGTTGTAATTGTGTTTCTATCAGTTACATGACACCCATATATTGAATTTTATTACGGTTATTGACTGCCTGAGCATAGTACGGGAATGACACCAGCGAGAGGTTCAGCCTTTGGAATGTGGAATGTCGAGCGCACACTCAAAACCCCAGACTGTTAAACTCTCCAAAACCCCTCGATTAAGGAGTATACCTTAAATCATATTAAGGATCCTACTCTAATTTAAGGTATATTCCTTAATTTAATGGGTTTTGGAAGGTCTGGGTCTCTCTTGTACTCCCTTGGAGTGGCAAAGTGGCCCTAATGCTTTCAACCCCAAACATGGAGTTTGTGGGCTTAGGGGTTGATTAAGGTTTCGGGCTTAGGGTCTAGGGCTTGTGAAATAGATGACGGATCCCAAGATAGATGTTTGATCAGCAAATCACAAATACGTATACATACGCACATACATACATACATACATACCTACATGCATTCATCTTCGTACTTCGTACCTACCTACCTACCTCCCTACCTACCTACGTACGCATGTATGTATATATGTGGACAGATAGATAGATGGACAGATAGATAGATGTACGTTTACACACGTAGTTAATTGTCTGGTATATGTTTCATATATCCTAATGACGGTATATTATCATAGAAGCGCATTCTATCGGTAGCTGGGCTTCCGGGTTTCCCTATCTCGCGAAGTGGCCCAGGCCATCTGCTCCCGCGATAGCGTCACACCGGTGACCTTGTGACATGATCAACAGGTTCCAGTGTTGCCTTCAAAGTTCACCTAGACCCCAAATAACTACGTTACCGTTTGATGGCAGGTTTAAGGCTTGTAGGGTTTAGGGCGAAGGTTAGCGGTTGAATAAGCCGGTTCAGGGTTCGGCCGCTCTGGCTACAGGAACGAGAACCCTCTTTTTCCTTGGGGCATGTGGACATACAGGGTACTTCATCCGAATCCCAATCCCGAAACCGTGAACCTTAACCCTGCTCTTCAGAAACCCAATGCCTGATCAACAAAGGATCCAACAAAAACAGGCTCCGAGAGAGAGGCCTGTCTTCAAGCCATGCAATGTAGGGGCCAGTAACGACCTTACGAATTAGAACCAGGTTTGGCAAATGCATGACTTGAAGGAGAGGTGATCTCTGGTCCGTGATGCCGAAAATCACCTTATATATCTTACGCCATGTCGTGTTTGGCAAGCTCTCAAACCGAAAAAACAGGACGAGCACTCCGGTTGAGGAAGTGAATCTCTTTGTCTGATTCTAGGGGCTTGTAATCCAGTGTCACTGCCACCTCTGGATAGCCATGTTGGCCACAACGCGATGTACTCCGAAAAGGAGTTGGGCACCAGCCACGTGCCAAACGGCTCATGGACCGAGATCGCCGATGGGGCGGAGCCCGAGCTCCGTAATTCTCACCCAAGAGGCCGTTCGGAGAAATGCCTAGATGGCTGTTCAACTGCAGAGCATAGACCAGGAAGTGCCTGCATCTCGCACCCACAGCGATTGAAGGATGTGGTCCCTGTTGCGATACCCACCGGAGCTGGGCCGTTGACCAAGAACAGTCCAGCAATCACCACTGGCGCGCGCCCGCTGCAGGATTGACGAACGGTGGCTTTCCTCGAGGATTACCAGTATTGCGTGCATGATAACAGGCGAACCTGATCTCGTCAGCAGAGACGTCTCCGGGGACGATCATTTATTGGGCTGGGGTTGGTGTATACTAGCATGCGGCATGTGGAGCCTGCAACTTTATAGTTTGTGTGTGATCAGGAACCCAAAGGACCAGACTGCGCTTTTGAGCCTTTACAGTAAACCCTCAACCAATCATAATCAAAGGACCAAAACCCTGCCTACAGTCATTCTGTTTGCTAGAGAGGTTACTCTGTTTGCAAGAACTACCCGGATGTTACAAGGGTTGTGGGTAGTTGAGAATGAAGTTTTCCTACGTTCAGACGCGCTACTAATCCCCGAAGGGTCCAATGTACCGATATGGTAGAATGTAGGGTTTCCATATTAGGAGTTACTATTATGACTCAGGGAAGTATCCCCCATAACAGTACATAGGACCCTTTGGGATCTTCTTTCTTGGAATCTCCCTCAGTCGGCTCATTCTCGCAGGCCAAGGCACATGCACGCCGTACTTGGATGCGAGATATTGGGCCTGGCACCCAAAGGCTCATTCAATTAGAGTATAATACCCTAAGGGTCCATGTGCTCCTATAGTATATACATTGGCCTTAATGTAGTCCCTATTTAAGTACTTTGGGGCCCAAGTATATGCTATATGAGTACATTTACATGGAACCTTACGGATAGGTATGGAGCTCAGGGTGTGACGAGGTGAAAGCAATGCTGAAGCATGACTTCGGGGATGTAGATTGAGACTAGGACCGAGTGAGGTTATGGGGTGTTTTGGGAACTGTGACCTTTAGGCTTACAGGGCTTCTATACTGAACTTAGAACCCTAGCAAAACTTAAGATCTTAGCTGCTGTTTCTTAGGGATTATAATAACCAAAAATGAATAGTTGTTTCGAAGTAACCCCTAAAGCTTCAGGGCTCAGCTTCAGGTGGTACTTAGTGTAGCGCGCTGAGGTGTTCGGCTGCTTACTAGGGTAGACACCGTCCCAAGCCTGTATCTCAATAAATTTTTGTTCCTTAAGACTCAATTCCACAGCCAAAAAGCGCAAGACTTGAAACCGTGAAAGCCCCAAAGAGTGCACCCGCCGCCCCAAACGCCCAAAGCCCTAAACCCCAGCGTCCAATCTCCCCTCACCAAATGAAAATACAACAAATCAATATTTACATAAAGCTGAAACAGTACAACCCCAGAGCGCCCCCACACCCCAAAAGCTCCAAAATCACCAGCCCACTCCCCCATGCCACAAACACGCTGAATCCTAAATGAAAGCACATGCAAACCACCGCCTTCACACAACACACACAAGCGCACACATATCCAAGAAACGAAATGAACAACTAAATCCCACAGCTCTAAACCACAAGGCCTTAACTCTGCAAAAGCCAGACGCCAGAAACTAAAAGTCGTACCCCCCAACAACACCAAAACAACACACATACACGCATACACACAACACACAATGAAGAAACCACTAAGCAACAACTACAATCATTCAACCGGACAAATTATATGAAACCCTGACGGTCCACGGGCCCATGTAGTAAATAGTCCATATATAGGTACGTATCGGAAATCTAAAGAAAACTGCCCGAGTCTTTTTGAACGTTTGAAGCCAGAACCTGGGCGCCGAAGCCAAAGCCGAACTCCAAGCATCGCCTCGGCAAGGACGACTTTTTGGTGCCTTTTCTTACCTTTGGTTGGTAGGGAATGGAGGAATGGGGTATAATAATAACTACCATTCTTCCATTCCCTAGTAACCAAAGGTAAGTTTTCCTCTGATATGTATGCTGCTTTCGGCTCTGATCATGTTTGTCACTCTTCTCTCTGTTGCTAGTAAAAAATGTGATAGTCGGATCTGTATGGTTTTGGTTAAGAGTGGTGACATCGTTTATCGGATTATCGCATGCTTGTATCAATTCTTCTTACTGGCACCAGTAATGCCACTGTTGTTTAAAATAAATGTAACGATTATCGGTCATCGTAAAGGGGCGGCCCGGTTTCGGGGCCCGAAGCTTAAACCCAACTCCTTTGGAACCACTGAACAGGCCATCCTAAGCACCAAACGAGCCATAACACACCAAGACACCCTGAAAATAGTTCATGACGCCCAAAAAGGCAAGATCCTGCTAAAGACTTCTTGGAGGATCATGGGACTTACTAAGGATTTACATACCTTACGTGGGGTGAACAGAAATTAGTATAGTGCAGCTGCCGCATTCGAAACTCTAGTCTCTATACTATAGGTACCATGATCCTTTAAACAAGAAATACCTCTACAGATCCCTTGTAGAACCCTTGAACGAACCCTTTAAAGAACCCTAGCTACGAAGTCCCCGTGATTCCCATGATCCCCTTGAGTTGATGCCGAGTGACATGCCTGGCTTCAGATCCAGCTTCTTGGCCTTGGCTCCGTGGCAGCTCGGGGGGGGGGGGGGGGGCATTATGGGGCTTCAGGGCTCTTTAGGGGTTTAGGCTTTAGGGTTTAGGGTTTAGGGGTCTCTCTTGGGGGTTTAGTTACCTGGAGCTTTGTCTAAACTAGGGTTCCCTTTTTGGAGGTCCTAAGAATAAGGTTCCTACTACTTGGGCTCTATGTGAGGGGGCCTTATGGGGTTTCAGGGCTCTTGGGCTCCGTTTGGGGCTTCGATCCAAGACAAGGCACCTTAGGGTAATAGTCTTTCTGTCAAGGCTCTTGTAATTTAAAGGATCCAGTTAATTGGGTTCCTTCGGGGGGTGTAGGTCCAGGTATGGCTTTAAAATGCTGAAAAAGTTTGGGTTTTTAGGGTTTGGTCATGGCTTTCCGGTCCTGCGGTACACAGAGCAGGTGGGAGAAGAAGGACGGCCAAGCATCCCGATCTTTAAGTCGGAAAAATCTACTACCCCGAAACCTGCTGATTCCCCAAAGCCCGACTGACGTAAAAACCTTCGAAAGCGCAGAGCCGCAACCAAGCTCCCCTCATCAAATCTCTTTCCAATGCTAAGACCCAGACCTTCCAAAATCCCTTAATTAAGGAATATACCTTAGATTATAGTATAGGATCCCTAATGTGATTTAAGGTAGATTCCTTAATTAATGGGTTTTGGAAGGTCTGGGGACTTAGGATTAAGGTCCGGGGATTAGGGGTTTAGTGTATAGGGTCCAGGGTTTGTGATGATGGCCGCCGTTTGTGCAGAGGACCGCCGCGACCGCCAGCACGGGAGTCTACTCCCATCGCCAACCCAAAGGCTCCGATGTACTGTTATCGAGGATACTTCCCCAAATCATAATAGTAATTCCTCATATAGAAACCCTACATTCTGCTATATCGGTACTTCGGAACCCTTAAAGGAACCCTAAACCCTTAAAGGAACCCTAAACCCTAAGCCCTTAAAGCTACTTTGGACTTTGGACCCTTTGGGTAAACTCCATGGTATCTGCATCCCTTAGTCCTCCACACTTGGGTCTGATAAGTTGGGTACGACAACCATACAGCAAGAGTCTATAATAGGGCTACACGGTTTAGAGTTTAGGGTTTAGGGTTTAGGGTTTAGGGGCTGCTATTAATTGTGGTCTTACTATATCTATATTATGAATATTATTCAACTATTACTGAGTGGGGGCCGTACCCAAGCTACATTCCAGAACTCTAAACCCGAAGCTCAAAAGCCCAGACCTTGACCTTAACCCTGGACCGTAACATTCAAACGTATTCGGGATGAAGCCTAGTAGCTACCACATACCTAGCCCTCTCTGAGCTCTTCAAAGCCAAGTTGCAATGAGATCCATCTTCGCCTGACAGTCAGAGCCCGTAGCCCTTAAAAGGGGACCCAATTACAGAGCCCCATAGAGAAACAAAAACACACCCCGCGACGAGGCATCGGATTTTCTTGTGTGGCTCAAAGTAGCCTTGTGCTGCAGGAGCTAGACATACTTTTTCAATACACCACAGACATTGAAAAACAAACGCAACTTTCAGATAGCTTTTAAGCTGTAAGAGGCCCCAAAAAGTTTAACGGCTGCGTGTTGGAGAACTACTTCCGGGCCCCAAGACGAGGCCTACAAGTAAGCTTCAAAGGAAATACAAAAGGAACCCTCAAAGGAAGCCTCATAGGAACATCCCTATAAGCTAATAGAATCGAAAGTTACTCAATTCCCAAGTCTTAAACTCCATATAGGACCTGTGTTCTGAAGTGACCGGTTAGAGAGGTGGGCCAATCCTAAAACCTAGTCAAAAAATACACTAAACCTAAACTCAAAATCTACTGTGGCAGTTGAAGCCCAAATGCACACTAAAACCTAGTTCAACAATACCCTGAACCTGAACTCACATTTACTAAGACAAATGGAAACACAAATACATGCAAATCCCCAGCTCCGGAAGTGCCGACTCATACCCCAAGCTCCAAACAATGGAAAGCTACCGCGAACAGAGGCTCAAACCCAGAACATCGACAGCATAGCCTGCCTACCTCAACATTTGGAATGGGGTACCATTTAAGAATTCATTGAAAGGGCCAGTGGGGTTTCCATGTTCTAGGGGCCCTCATAATGGTTAGAATAGGCTTTGGCGGCGGGGGGGGGGGGGGGGGGTATGTTAGAGCATAATCATATTCAGGAATGCTATATAGGGCAAACATTGGCATGCTTTTCGGGGCTCTGCATCTCAAGCCACGAAACCTCTCCACCCGAAATGCTAAGCACGGTTTAAGGGTTTAGGGTTTAGGGTTTAGGGTTTACGGTTTAGGGCTAAATCCCAAACCGAAGCGCCAACATAAGTTCAAGTCCCAACTCCTAAACTCCTGCAAGAAAAAACCAAGATCCCCGGAAAAAAAAATCCTCGCCTCCTGTGCTTCGTCTAGTGACATGTCTGGGCGCGGATAATAGGCACAGGTATACCTGATTTTGGGCGCCTACGAGGAGGATTTGATCAGGTTTTGTAAGATTTTAACACGGGCTTTGGAATTTCAAACCTAAACCGTAAACTCCAAACCCTAAACCCTAATTAAACCCTGAACCCTAACAAGGGACAGGGAATTCGGACTTCGGGTGTGCAGGTCTGTGGCGTAAAGGTCATCTGTC